AAAAAAAAAAAAACAGAACCAAAACTTCCTCACAAAACAACTTTCTCCTCGTCTCACTTTGACGTCGTCGTCATCATCGGTCGTTGTCGTTGTCGCTATTGCTGTCATCGCTGCCGTCGTCGTCGCCGTCGTCGTCGTCGCTACCTCCACCATTGCTGTTCTTTTATACAGTTGCAAAATTCATTTTCACTTAAATTTTTAGAAGCACTGTTCTGCCAATGCTTTTCGCTTTGGGACTCCGTCATTCAAATTAGCACCTCAAAGTGCCATAGGCTAATCCCGTGCCTTTGCCCTCTTTTTTTTTTTTTTATGTGAGGTCATTACGATTAATTTGTTATTAAATGGATTACCATTTCAGCACTGAACTGTGAACCGTTTTTGCCTTATTTCTTTTCTTTTTTTTTTTGTTTTTTGTTTATTTAGTTGAACGTTGATCACCGGAAACTGTTTTCCAATTTGGTTGACCACCTAAAATAGGTACAGTGATGTTAGGAAAACAATGGATGATCATTTTATTTACACTTCTGTGAGACAGTTGTTGTTGGTGTTGTTGAAGTATATCAATTTTAATAGTTAATTTATTCCCGCATGATTTTACAGGTCAAAAAAAAAAGGAAACAGTCAGTAACAAGCTGATAATTGTTATTCAGGATATGTGTGTAGAAGCTGGCAGCCCCATCGATGTTGGTTTGTTGTTTTTATTGGTCGCTTAATGAATAGTTAAAAGATTCTTTGATGTAATAATTTTTCCTTGACAGTTATCAGAATTATGGCTTGATAAAAGCACACAATTATATGCCGTTTAAGAAATAGAAAACTGGTTAAATACATCGAATGGTTCTAATTGTTAATATAGTTTCCTGTTTTGCTCTTTCTTTTCTTCTCCTCATTTCTCAGAATTCATCATTGTTTTTACATCTTTTGTTCTTTTTTTTTTTTTTCATTTTTTATTAACACTTCGTATCTGAAGATGTTTTGAAAATGACAAAATATATGGCAAATTAAACAGTCTTAGATCAGTACCGATGACATTCTGCAAAAAATTTTTTTCATTTCCAATTTGTAAAAGTACCTCTAGCTAATTGTAAAGAGATAAAAACTGACCATTGAACAGCTAGTTACTTATGTAAATACATTTTGTTTTAAGGTATCAAAAAACTTATTTTTTACAAACTAGGACTTTATCTTGCCAATGATTGTAGTGATACGTACATCACATTTAAACTTGTCGTTTCACTTGAACTAAGTAATCATTTTGTTTTTAAAGTAACGGAGTAACACCTTTGAATTTAAGCCAGAAAAGAAACAATTGTTAGGTTAAGTTTTAACTTTTTTTCATAAATTATCTTCGGGCGTTTATTATGATCTTATACCGGTATAAATGGTAGTGTCATTTTAGCTACCCATTGTTAACAGAATATTTATTCTCTGTCTTATATTTGTCTAAAAATCTTTTCAAAATATACTGTTATGGATGATATGCCATGTTTTTCCACCTTACAATTCACAAAATTAAACAGGGTCATCTTTCTGAACAAATAATGATGAGGAAAGAGGGCAGTTTATATCATATTTTCTGAGTATACGAGACCAACGATTTGTATTGAAAGTGTTAAATAAAACAAAAAAAAAATATTATATTTGTTTTGTTGATAACGAAGGGCTTTGCTGCTTATAGCATACAGTGTGCAGCTACACCTTTCCTCTGTCATTGGCGTACATGTGGTTGTAAATAGTCTTACGTTGAAGCGTCCACTGTGAGTAGAAAACTTTGTTAGTACTTGTTGATTGAAAAAAACTTTGGACCTCGTGTAATCTGATTTTACCTCGGCACTTTGAATATTGTTTTTTCTTTTTCTACATCTTTAATTGTTAATTGCTGGTATATACAATTTTTATGTTATAAGAGACAGTACTAATAAACGTGGCTTTGATTTTGTTCTAATACATTTCTAATGACCGCTTCACAGGTTATTTAGCTTTAGTTCACAGAATTATTCTGTAGTCTCAGCTTAAACTTATTCCATCATTCACTGTTGTTTCACGCAACAAAGAAGGCAGCGACAGGAAAACTTGTTGTATTGTAGATTATGCTGTTGAACTGAGAGGAATGTTTGATCTCAGAAGTTGCTGTTTACGGGCTTTCCGGTCGGCAGTTGCGGCCGTTCAGCCGTACGAGCGTGTTAGAACTGTAAGATGTTCATTCGTTAATGTCAAGAAATGTAAAGAAAAATAATATATTTTATTTATCTTCCAGATCACATGGTAGCTTCAAAGTTAATGTTGGTTTTTAGAGTTTAAAAGTGACAAAGGGTTCTTTGTCAATTGGCGGACGAAATTATAAGTTGAATCATAATGTGTATCTGGCAGCTTTTGGGAAGGCAGCTCTAGGTATGGTCCAAGGTGCTGAAGCGGTTATTGGAGAGCACTTGGTGAAAGGGGTGGCTAGCGTTCCACGAAAAACTTTACAGAAGTTGTACGCTTTTTGTATGCGACATTCTCTTCAACTCCAACTTATTCAAAATTTCAAAAAATATTATTGAAAATACTACATATAAGAGCATCCTAACTTTCAAATGCCATCAGGGCTCCCGGATCACACTTGAAAACTCGATTATTCGAAGGTGCAACTAATAATCTTCCTGACGAGGATTCTTGTAACAATGCGAAGATGATTGAGGCAATGGCAAAAAAATTGACTGCAAATGATTTATTCCTTGTGCTGATCTCCGGTTAGTCAATTTCTCGCTACTGATGTTGATATAATTCCTTCATCTGTGTATTAAAATTTGACGGAAATCTTCAACTTTTTATTGCCGTTTAGGTGGTGGCTCGGCGCTTTTATCCGCTCCAATACCTACTGTCTCACTTGCGGAGAAGTTGGCTACTATAAAGGCTATGACTTCACATGGGGCTGATATTACACAGCTGAATACAGTCAGGATAGCACTGTCAAGGTTAAAAGGCGGTAGACTTGCACTTTCCGCACAACCTGCACAGGTCGTTCAATGATTTTTTTCTCAACGAACATCTGAAAATTATTGTTTAACCCAAATAGCTCAGCGGCGTTAATTAAATTGATATCCTTGTCTTAACAGCAAATGACAGTCACTTTGGTTCACAGCAACAGTGGAATTTCTAGCTTTTTTAAAATAAGGAAAATAGTCAAAAGAATATAGCTTTTAGGTGGTGTCGCTGATAATCTCCGACATTGTAGGAGACCCACTCAATTTGATTGCCAGTGCGCCTACCGTGCTAACTTCTAATGCCGATGTTTCTCAAAGCGATCCTATCGGTATATTAAAAAAATTAGCTACTTGGGATAATGTACCAAAAAATGTACAAATTGCCCTTCAGGAGTCGCAGAAGTCGCAACCCCCAAAAGTATGCAATAGAAATTTAGCATTACACCAAACTTATATTAGTTTTTGGCCCTTTGAAATTGGATTGTATATGCTTCACCGCAAAAAATCTGCATTTTTTTTTTTGCGCTGCGGTAATGTTAACACATTTTAGAAGGATGTAGATGTTAACAACCAAATCATATCTAATAATGAAGTTGCAATTGCTGGTTTGGCAAAAATACTTAACGAAGCTGGGTACATATGCCATAAGGTTAGTAATACAGTAGCAAAAAATGCCCAAACTTTTGGGGGAGAGCTCTCAGCTATTATCAAGAAAGTTGTTTCAAGCGACGATCCTGCCGAAGTGCTAAGCAAGTCCACTATGTCTGATATGAACCTGAAATGTCCAAATAAAGGTAAATTCAATGAGGTTTCTCCACCATTGCCTTGTTCTAACTTTTAAAGAGCCTAGGAATAGATCAGTTTTGTTACCTTTATTCCCTGCTCATAGTTGCCACGATTTTTAGTTAGCCTGACAAAAAACAACAGTGTTTTTATGTTTGCTGTTTATGCAAGAACAATTCTTGTCATGTTCTGCTGCAAACAGCCAATAGTATTTGTTTTAAAAACTTTAACATTCAATGATTTTAGAGTTGCTTTCCAGATAAGTTCGCTCTCTTGTTTGGTGGAGAATGCACAGTAACATTGAAAGGCAATGGAAAAGGAGGTCGTAATCAAGAAATTGTCCTCAAAGCTCTATCCGATTTGATTGATATGGGTCCCGAGGAATTTTATGATTTTGCGCTTATGAGTTCCGGGACCGATGGACAAGATGGTCCAACAGAAGCTGCTGGGGCTGTACTAACTAGTGATGACTTAAAATATATTAGAGAAAGCGGGCGCTGGAAGAAAGCAGATATTGACTCTTACTTAAATAACAATGACTCTTATAATTTTTGGAAAAAGTTCCATGATGGAGCATGTCATGTGGTTACTGGCCCCACGGGAACAAATGTAATGGATGTTGAAGTTCTACTGTTCAAACGGAAAAAATAAGCTTTTTGTAAAGAAGTAACATCTTGACAGTGGTGCCATAGTCGTTGTATCCTATCTTTTTATCAAACATTGTTCAGTCAGTTTTTTGACGTTGACACTAAGCTCACAAAAAGATAGGATCACTTATGCTTTTGTTTCTTGGATTTGGCCGTCATTTTTTCCAAAAGTACTGGCCTCAGTCATACAATTTTTTCATATTACAGTAATTTAATAAATGCTTCTAACTGATACATTTGATATGCCGGATACAAATTTTTTTGGAACTGCAGACAATGATTACGGACAAAGCAAAGTCCAAGTGTTTTGCCAACTATTATACGACATAGATCGTTTAGTATATACTAAGCTGTTAAACTTTTGAACTTTCTAACTAGCAGCAACTTCAGAAGAATATGACGTCTGGTGGATGCAGCAATACAGACTATTTTGCAAATTAGTGTACATCAATCATCATTTACGACAAGTATTTGGTAACAACAAATAGATGTTTAAGAGAAGTCCAAGTTCCCGTAAGAAACTGCAAGCACTTGGGTACTGATAAAATTTTCTGATTCTGCACTTCGTGTTGGGTATAACTGAAGAAACTCTGTTAAAGAAAAATTTGGAACGCTTCACGAATTTGCGTGTCATCCTTGCGCAGGGGCCATGCTAATCTTCTCTGTATTGTTCCAATTTTAGTATATGTTCATCGGAATGAACGTGTGTTGTGGCGTTTGAGTTCTATAGATACGGCATTTGAGAATGTGCGTCCAACTCTCAACGGGTTTGTACAAAGAAGATTGCGACTCATTACCAACACCCTCATACGTACCCACCATACCTTATAGGCGTCGCTGGGAAATCAAGGCTCCTAAATAACTTTACTAAAGCTCCTTCCTGGTGTGATATATCAGCGCATAAAGTTTTCAGCAATTCCAAGAATGCTTTTGGTTGGATCAGGGTGCAAAGAAAACGTTCTGTCAAAAAAATGTATTACTTTGACAGTTAATGTGAAGAAGACGGTTGCGTCTAGCAATTTCTAATTTCAGAGTACCTTTTTTTCGGAGCTTTTAGTGCATTTAACTTGGCGAATATACTGTACAACAATATGCTAAATGGTTTCGGTGCTTTTGTGTCTTAGAGTGTCACCAAATAACATGCCTCTTACATCCATCCAACTTATTTTTTTCTTCTTACCAATAATAGGCTCTTAAATCCATTCTAAAAAGTACGATTCCTCACTTCCATAGTTTCGCGAAATCACACTTTTGACAGAGGCGTAACGAGATGCATTTACGTCAGTCCTACAATAGTAGCTTTCAAAATTCGGGTAAATCTTGGGCATCAACACGCAGGCTTGTGACTACTGCTGTTCCTAAAAATTCAAAGTCCTTCCATAGTTTATACAACTTATAGCTGCAGAAAAATTACTCTCTCCAACAAATTAGGTGATTAAAGCAACTACCAGAGACTAGGTATTAAAACTTACTCTTTTGTAATCTGCATATACTAGAAAGCTCTGTCTGTTGTACTTGTGGCTTTACTCGCTTCCTGGTTTGGTTTTACTGAATCGTTTGGGCCCATCGAGCATACGGAAGTAAAACCTTTCAGACCAAAGTGAGCGGTGATTGTGGGAGCTGGAAAAACAGGCAAGATTTGAGGACAATTTCGAATGATTACCGCTACTTCAGTCTTTAGGCGGATTTTAGGAGCACAGGTCGTTTTATGAACGTTCCAGAAAAGACACAGTGGGAACTTGATCTAAAACTGGTCCTCAGAGCTGCAAGTGTAGAACAGGAAAGTTTACAGGCTGTTTCAGCCTTCTAATGATGACAAACTCATACAAAAAATTACAAGTTAAAAGTGCATGTTCGAGCACTACAGCCTACTTCCCAGCGATGAGGGACAAATGCGACAGAAATAAGGTAGGATAAGATTGAGAGCTCTCAATAAAAATATAAAGAAATACAGGGAGGGTACAGATGCAAAAGACGTTGCTACAAGTCTGTTATACGACCCTGACGTGCCGTATTCCTGTACAGCAACTCTCAAACCCCAGAAATTTCCGCCTTCCTTATTCGAGCAATTCTGGACCCGACTGTCTGCACATAAACCGCCCGCTCGTAAAACCACGAAATGAACACTACCCATTTAACTTCTTCCGGAGTACTTTTTACGTTTGCTTGGAAATTTTTAATACTGTTTGTCATTTTGCTTTTTTCAGCACTCTTCCAACTGAGTGACACTGACTTTGCAGTTAATGAACTCGCAAGTTGTTCTACCAAGGAAAGACCACCCCTAAAGTTACTGGTGTTCGTGTGAATGTGGCTGTTGTGGCCGTGGCTGTCAATATGAAGGGCGAAAAATGCATCAAAAAAGCTAAATTTTTTTCCAGAGAAACAGTAGTAAGGTTCCCAGGTATAACCAAGCTAGACTCCACATGTCCTCCTTGAACCATTTGTCTCGACGCTGTTTTTACTAGAGCAAGAAATACACTTATACAATAAAAACTCAAGCAGTTTTATTAGTAAATCGGCAATTGTGCTGCGACAACACACGATCTATTTTTATCATATATTACGCATAAGCACTTAAATATACAGTTTTTTTCCAAATATACAACAGCTCCCTGCATACCCGACATGGAACATAAAGCAAACTTGTTTTTCGAACAAAGTTGAACTGATGTTTGCAGCAAGGTATAATCTCAAGAAACATAAATTTATATATTAAACTTTTTCAGTAGTATCTCTCATATTTGGCACATAACGAACATTTTGAGCTTTTAGTTCTTGTATAATATGCGATGGTAAGCTTCCGGATACTGATACAGCATAAACTCCTTTCACCTATAATAAGTTGGCCAGAGAACGTCGATGCAAATATATTCATTTTAGAGCGTTTAAGAGAAGAAACTAACAACAAGCTTCTTTCCTAGCGAATTACTCCCAATTTAAAACTTCAACAAATCAAAAAATTACCTTCCGGTTGATCTTCTGCCACTTGCAGACCCAAGAATCCTCAGGAGAAGCTGCAGCTATTATTCCGTCAAAATTTGAACTGAAGGAGTATTATGACTGTCGAACAAAAACCGAAACTCAAAAAAAGTGGCGCAAAATAAGAAAAAATAGTCAGAAAATAAAAAAACCTTGTGCACTCGCTAACTTTTTCCTCATCACCTTTCATAGTCAGATATCTTTCGCAATTATCACAGCCATCAAGAACGAATTGATCAAGCGATTTAACCATTGAACAAAGAAGACATGCTCGTAGATTCCTCAGGTCCCTGGGAACGCTGTCCACTGACATCTGCAGAAAGAAATATTCAATGAGTACAGACCTTTCCAAAACAAACAAAGCAGAGCGACGATAAACCGCTCCACTGGATACACTTTTAGGCAAATAAGCGGTTATTTATGAAGTTTCGAATCCCGGTATGAATAAATAACACTTTTTAGTGAAAAAAAAAA